GCTTATCGTCTCTTATCGTTATCACGAGCCTCGTTGATCCATCTCAAGACCGAGACCCTCCCCCAGATATAGCCAAGGCTAACTCTCTCGCTCGGGAACAAGGGTCCGTCGCTTCTTCAACAACCAACTTCTGCCTGTCTCCAGCTTGTCTGTCTCCAGCAAGGCACCAGCTTCCGACCGTCTCTCTCACCGCGCATCCTTCGCTTGCTCCATCTCTAGCATAGCATCAGTCAGTACCCGATCTCGTTGCCTTGGCCTCATCGCATCGCCCTCCAAAACCCGTCCCCAATATCCCATCCAGAGCCCATCTCCGAAGACCTCCGGTTTGCTTGGACAATCACTACGCTACACGGTCAATCCGCATTGCCACAGCGAGCTGTACAAGCACATAGCCCCCGAATCCCATCCTGGCCAGTTACACATCCACAAGACACATAACCTTGTATCATGCTTCTGTCTTCGAACTCTCACTGACTCAGCACCTCTTGCTCTCTGTAGATACACTCTTTTGACGTCGCACCCCCTCGGGGACGCCCGATCGCCAATTCTCGCCAGGATCAGCCCAGGATCTAGGCCTCCCGAGTCAACAGTGACGCCCGGGTACACATCCACACCGACCATTCCTCCTGCTCCGGTCGATTGTTGTCTGCCTACGTGTCCGGCAACCCCAACCCACCTCTTTCGTCCCAGTCGATAGTATCCCCTCCGAGCCCGATTTAATCCCATCCGCCTTCAGTATCCAAAGTCGTTTACATGAGGAATCCATCCGCGACCGTAGCGCTCTCATCTTCATAAGCCTCCGGGCTAGCACACACTTCGCCATCTTCCTGCCGGTGACAACTTCTACAGGAAGCCATGTCGACGTCACGGGACTCGGCGTCGTCCCACGGCTCCAAGAAGCCGAGCCGACGAAGTGTTGGGGATTTCATTATCGAAAAGGAAATTGGCAAGGGGAGCTTTGCTCAAGTGTATCAAGGATGGCATCACGTACGTTTCTAGTCCACGCTACATCATGCACACCGAGATCTCATTGTCCCTGCTCCCCAATTCCCTAGAAGATCAATGCAGTCCAGGTCCCCAGAGCTAACGTTCAAACCTAGAAAACGAGGGAGATCGTTGCCATCAAGTCCGTCGAGCTGGAGCGGCTCAATAGAAAGCTCAAAGAGAATCTATATGGAGAGATTAAGATCTTGAAGACGTTGCGACACCCTCACATTGTGGCGCTCCATGACTGCGTCGAGTCGTCGACGCACATCAACTTAATCATGGAATACTGCGAACTCGGCGATTTGTCCTTGTTCATTAAGAAGCGAGATAAACTCGGCACGCACCCGGCTACTCACGACATGGCTCGTAAGTATCCATGCGCCCCAAACTCGGGCCTGCACGAAGTCGTTATCAGACACTTCTTGAAACAGCTTGCGAGCGCTCTTGAGTTCCTTCGAACCAACAACTACGTACATCGCGACGTCAAGCCGCAAAACCTGCTCCTTCTGCCAGCACAGTTCCTACGGGATCAGCGTGGTTTGCCAGTAATGGAGGCCAGCCAGAATTCACTGATTCCAGTTGCTGGTCTAGCTTCCTTGCCTATGCTTAAGCTTGCAGATTTCGGATTTGCCCGGGTGCTTCCGTCAACGTCGCTTGCCGAGACCCTGTGCGGTTCTCCGCTCTACATGGCACCTGAGATTCTCCGATATGAAAAATACGACGCAAAGGCTGATCTCTGGTCTGTGGGCACCGTCTTGTATGAGATGGCCACTGGGCGCCCGCCATTCCGGGCTCGAAATCACGTCGAACTCCTCAGGAAGATAGAAGCTGCCGAGGATGTAATCAGATTCCCAAGAGAAGTCATCATCAGCCCCGAATTGAAGAGTCTCATCCGGGCTCTGCTCAAGCGGACACCTGTCGAGCGATTGAGCTTCGAAGGCTTCTTCACTCACCCCGTCGCAACGGCTGACATTCCCGGACTCGTGGAAGATGATATTCCCAGGGCACCACCGAAGATAGATACCGAAGTAGGGGCTGGGGCTGTAGCCAAGCCACCGTCGCCGCGTATTGCATCACTCCGACAAGCTGGAAATGATCCGGCACAAGAGCCACGTCTCTCTATGTCCCCTCGAGAAAGCCGCCCACGCTCACCGACGAGTGGCAGCCCTGGTCAAGCCCGGTTTCCTCGACGAGATGAAGCACTTCAGAGGCCCGGCAGCTCAGCACGCGATGATAAGGAAGGGCTTGGGATTAGACGGCCCGCCCCCCCTCTTCATGCTGCTACTGCCCCCCCTAAGACGCGCGCTGGAGAAGTACCTGGTCGCCACAGTACAGTTCCTGATGCGCGAGCCCCCGAAGCCCGTAAATCATCAGGCGGCCGTCGTCCTTCGACTGAGGAAGAGAAAGCCGCCCAAGACGTCATGTTTGAGCGTGACTATGTCGTTGTGGAGAAGAGGCATATCGAAGTGAATGCCTTGGCTGATGAGCTAGCGGAGAATGAGAAGCTTGGGCATAGGGGTCAGAGCCTCCCCAAGACGGGCCAGGTAGTACGACGAGCGACCCAGCAAGGAGTCCCAACTTCGACGACTGGTGCCATACCTACCCCAAGCTCTCGGACCGCGTTGATATCCCAAGGCCACGCTTCACACGACAGGAGATCCTCATATGACAAGAGCCTTTCTGCCAGCCCAGGATCGGCGTCAAGTGCTATTTCCAAGGCGATCCAGGACGCAAGTCTGAGGCTATTTGGTTTCAAAGTACCGCCATTGAGAACGGGAAAAGGCCAATCGCCACCCCTGTACCATCCGTTCCCTGCATATCCAACTCCGACCTACGCTGGGCTTCTCGGGGATGGAAAGGGAACACAAGTAGCCGACGAGGATATGGGAGCGGCACAAACGATCGAGGAACTCGCCACCCGCAGTGACTGTGTCTATGGATTCGCTGAAGTCAAATACAAGCAGCTTGTGCCGATGGCGCCCTCAGCAGAACATGGCCTTGGTGGAGCTGACCCGAACCAGATACACACCGAGGAGTATGGACTCACCGTCGAAGCTATTGTGGGCCTCTCGGAAGAGGCACTGGTTCTCTATGTCAAGTCTCTCACCTTGCTAGCCCGCGCGATGGACATTGCCAGCGTATGGTGGTCAAACAGAACACGGAGCGAACCATCCACCGGTGTCTCGGCTGCAGTGTCACAAAATGTAGTACAGCGCATTAATTCGGTCGTGCAATGGGTGCGCAGCCGGTTCAACGAAGTCTTGGAGAAATCCGAGGTTGTTCGTTTGAAGCTGACGGAAGCACAAAAACAAGTTCCCGAAGACCACCCCAGCCACCCCTCCAACCAGGAGAGCAGCTCCATCTCGTCTTCAGCTGGTGGATCAGGAATCAAGCAGGTGTTCCTCACGCCCGGAATCAGCGCCGAGAAGCTGATGTTTGAACGAGCTCTCGAGATGAGCCGGGCGGCTGCCATTGACGAAGTAACGAATGAAAACCTTCCTGGCTGCGAGCTCTCCTACATTACAGCAATCCGAATGCTTGAGGCTGTCCTGGATGGCGATGAGAACGTGCCGCAAAAGGCCTTGGAATCTGGAAAAGATACGAACAAGTTAGCTGTCGCAGAGATCGACAGCGACGAGGAGCACATAAGAAATTGTAAGTTTGATTTGACCCCAGCACGAACGAACGCTAAGTATTACAAAAAAGTGATCGCAATGATCACCAAGAGGCTGGTGTCAGTTCGTAAGAAGCTGCAAATGATTGCTGAGGCAAACAGAGCCCAGCAAGCATCACCACACCTTGGTCATCGCCGAAGCGGAGATGTGACGCCCCGAAGCGTGCCCTCGTCTTAATAGAGCAGCGATAGGCGTATACGTTATGGTGCATTTTCATTCAGGTCAGGTTTGACCTATTTTAAACGGACTCGAATTGATCCTCGGATTTTTTTCATTCGTCCTATTCTTCTATTGTCATTCTTAACCCTTTATTTGGTGCTTCTTCGGGACACGCTGTCCCATATCATGAAGCCGGGCGTTTTGTCTCTCATCATCATCTCCTTTTCGCCAGGGTTTGAGAATTTAGTATATCATCGGCCGGCGTTATATATATCTTTTTGACGGAATTGTTACAGATTGGAAGAAACTAGGAACTCGACTCTCCCCTCTATGCACACGACCCGAGTTCGATGGGAGGCTGGGAGAAGAGGTTGCATGACCAGACCCAAACTCACGAATCATTGGTCGGCCGAATGGTGTTTGTTTTTATTGATTATTAGCAAAATGACAGTTCATCGCTTCCATGCGATGGCTACGCGTACGGATCGAGAGTGTAGAATTTACGGAGTTTTTTATTTTACTTTTTATTTTGCTTGTTTTTCAAATCCATTTTCTTTCAGGTCTTCGTTTCAACGGCGAACTGGGCACATGATGGTATACCACTTATGGTTCACGGTCTTTTAAGGATGACAGTTTGACATCAGATACTAGGTTTGGTTTCATGTGAGAGTGGCGGGAGATCTCCCGCCCTCTTCTTTCTTTCGTTGGACAACGATTATTTGCTAGCTTTGGGTTTCAGTTCCACGTGCTCCCCAGGGAAGCGTGCTAGGCAGAATTAGCCACATAGCGCATGAATAGCGATGTATGCTGCAACTTGTCAGGGCCCAGTTGTTCTTGTGATTTAGTTTCAACTAAACTTTGTTCTTTTTCATACAGCGCATGCTTACTTGTCTTGTGTAGTTCCGCGTTTCCTTGTGAACAATGGATGGAGGATATGTGCACGGAACGATGTTTAGAAACAAGGGGAAGCTGTTGGCACGACCCTTTAAAAGGAGATTTGCTTTTTACACAAATCGGTAGCGTGTACTCCTTTAACTTTACTTTTTTTTTCGTCCTCAGCCTGCATTTACATTTCCTCAACTTACGATAACCTCCACCAACTTGAAGAAAAGGAGTAGGAAACAGGAAGGTCTTCTCAGCTAAGTCTCCCCACCACCCCCAAGATCACAAGATCACAAGATGAAGAAGGGAAGAAAGAAGGGACCGCCATCGCGGCTGCTGATGCCGAGAACGGTGGGACGGCACAGGAGGAGCGGCTCGGACCCATCGTCGCTGTCGGACAGCGTCCTGTCCTCGGAGCTAGACGGCAAGTTCCCGCGCCCGCTTGGGACGCCCCAGACGCTTGAGACGCTTCAGCTGCCTGAAATACTTGAGCTGATTGAGGTGCCCGAGACGCCCGAGACGCCTGAGTTTGAGGTGCTTGACGAGACGCTTGAGAGGCCTGAGATGCTGGAGATGCCTGATATGCCTGAAGTGCTTGAGATGCCTGATATGGCTGAGTTGCTTGAGATGCCTAATACGCCTGAGATGCCTGATACGCCTCCATCTCTGCCTCCGCCTCTACCTCCTCCTATACCTCCTCCCCTCCCTCTCCACCGCCTGCCCGGTACACCTCCACCTCCGCCACCGCCGCTCGCACCGATGCTTTCTACTGTGCTGGTGCTGAGCCGCGGGCTGGGGGAGCGGCTTGGGGAGGACTGTGGGAAGAGCGAGATTAGGAAGAGTGTGAAGGTTTTGGAGGAGGTGAAGAGTAATTTGGCGGGAGATGATGAGGGATCGGTGGTGGTCCCGAAAGAGGAGGTGGTGGACCAGAAAGAGGAGGAAGTATCTCAGAAAGAAGAAATGGTACCCCAGAAGGAGGAGGTAGTTGCCCAGAAAGAGGAGGTGGTGGGACAGAAGGAAGAGGAAGTGGTTGCCCAGAAAAAGGAGGTGGTTACCCAGCAAGAGGAGGTGGCTGTCGAGCAAGAGAAGGAGGTGGTTGTCAAGCAGGAGAAGGAGGTTGTTATTGAGCAAGAGAAAGAGGTGGTTGCTAAGCAAGGAAAGGAAGAGACAGTTGAGCAAGGAAAGGAGGTGGTTGTCAAGCAAGAGAAGGAAGTGACAGCTGAGAGGGAGACGATCAAATGGGAGATGCCAAAGGTCAGACTAAAAAAGGAGAGGCAGAAGAAGGTTGTTCCCGGGAAGCTGAGATACTTTGAGGGGATTCCATTGGTGGAGGGGGAGAACAAGAAGGAGCTGACGGGCTGGAGCAGGTGGGAGGAGAGGGAGAAGACGGTGTCTGTGGTCGTCCCCGAGGGTGTCCAGGAGAAGTGTCTGCAGTGCAGAGTCAGGAAACTGAGGTGCACGCTGACGAAGAAGCTGGTCGCTCCGAGAGGGGACGGGACCTGGAGAGAAGGACCCTGCTGGCGATGTGTCCAGCACGGGGATGGGCACGAGTGTCTGATCAAGCCTGGCCCGGCGGGCTGGGAGTTTGCCGAGAAGGACTTCACCGTGCTCCCGTACGACCCGACGGCTGATTTCTATGTCAGGGTGACGAAGGAGCGAGAAATCGAGCTGGTCAATTTCAGAGAGGAGGGGAGACAGCGAGAGATTCTGGAGAAGTGGACCGAGCGGGATGAGAAGGTTGTGGTAGATACCATAGCCAACTGCACCGGCAAGGTGAAGATATCTGCATTCGCGCCTCCAAGACCTCGAAACCGAAAGGAACTAGATCCATTCTCATACGGGGAAGGTACTACTGTTATTCTTAGAAGATCAGTTTAGGGTAGGTATGTAGGTAGAGTGAAGCATTTGAGTATAATTCTTGTGATGCTTTTGAAGGTTAAATCGCTTTGAGAAACTAGGCACGATCTCGCCTTTGTATAGATATATGTGACCAGGTACTAGAAGAGACCACAATGCTCATCAGAGACAATTCGCAACAGCTATATTCCGAGCACATCCAACGCACAACCCTCCGGACAGTCAAGAGCCTCCACGCGGCGATGATACCGCACCTAGGGATTGCAGCTGGTTCTGTTGTGTTTTAAGCGCACTCGGGAGGAGGGCCCCGACTGTTCGGAGGGCTGTGTCTTGAAATGAGCTCGGAATTTAGCTGTTATGCGTTGCCTCTGATGAACTTGTTATCCCTTCTGTGGGCTGGTCGCTTATACTGAACGGCCTCTGGGTAGTAGAGATGATGATGTTAGATACGAACTTGGTCGCTTGGCTTGGATTGAGAGAGGTCGCTGTGGTTGATGGTGATGAGCATCCTCAATGGGGGCCATGGCCAAGTTATATATTTATATTGGCCAGCCCTTGATAGAGTTTTTGGAGATATTGATGCCTTTTCCTAGGTTATGTGTGTAATTTTCTAAGTTTGCCTTATTAAGGTATGGAAGTCTTGAGTATAAACCATAATTTGTGTTTGAAAAAAAAAAAAAACCATGTGAATGAAATTACGTATGTGGCCTGGTTTTGGGATGTCCCTTGCTTGTAGCGATAAAAACCAATCAATCAATACGTATCATTTACGATTCATTTCTAGGAAAATCAATGCCATAACATAGGACTTACATGGCTCTTGTAATAAGAATACCCGGTAGGATCTGGGGAAGCCCCTCACTTATTCAGATGTGATGAGACTGAGATCTACCCCCACTTACAGAAGAAGAGATGACCGGCATGAATATCAGCACCCACATGACTGTGATCTTCTTTGCGATTTTGGAAATAAGCCTGTAGAATTCGATATTTATTTGATTGACTTCAATTACTCCCCAGTATCGCACGATGCCTCCACCCCCAGATCTTTCCGCCTACCGGCTCTCACCCGCCGAGTCGGAAGCCATCTTTAACTCTGAGATCGTCCCGCAAGACATCGCCCCCTTACCGCCCTCACCAAACCCCGAATCCCCTCTGGCAATCCTAGCCGTCGGCCAGACAGGCGCAGGCAAGACCCGCCTCTGCCCGGCCCTCCTCTCCGCCCTCGCCGCCTCCAACCGCAAGCCCGCCCACCTCATCGCCGACGTCTACAAGACGCACCACCCTTCCTACTCCTCCATCAACCCCAGCCACCTGGCATCGGCCGCCACGGGCCCGGACGCGCGCATTTGGCTCTCCATGGCCGTCGGGGATGCTGCCCGCCGCCGGCTCGACATCCTCCTCGAAAGTGCGTGCCGCCATCCCTCGGACTTCACCTCGCTGGCCGAGATGCTGTCCCGGGAGGGCTATCGTGTCGTAGTAGTGCTGCTGGCTGTCCCTGCGGCGCTCAGTCGGCTGGGGATCCTGGCGCGCTTTTATGGAGATTTGCCAGAGGCGCGGTCGAGAGGTCTGCCGCTGCGGCTGACGCCTGTCAAGGTGCATGATGACTCGTACGAGGGACTTATTCAAGGTGCAGAATGGCTGGATGGGAACGACGTAGCTGAGCAGGTGATTGTTGTACGGAGGGGAAACTTGGTTGCCTATGCGGAGAGTAGAGACGGGGCGAGTAAGGGGGGTATCGCCGAAGCAGTAAGACGAGAACGGGATAGACCACTTACTGAAGAGGAGAAGAGAGTTGCGTTGGATGATTTGGAGACGCTGGACTCTTTACCGGAGGCTGCTAGGGACACTGCCGCGGTGAAGCAGTTACTTAAGCCCCTTGTTGGTAAGGACGCGGGATCAGAAACATTTTCTGATTTATACCTGCTGGAGTTTTCAAATTCTATAGATGCAAAGCATTATGGTCACAATATACTGCACATTTGAATGTTGTTAGGTAGAAGCTGATTTATTAAGTACTGTCTCCCTGTAGTTCAATATTATGAAACTGCAACATATCGTGTGGTTCATATGACTGGAAATTGATTACTTCTCAAAGGCGGATTTAGATGCCGCAATGGAGGCAAGGCCTTGGCAAAACGAGAGACAATGTACTCTCGTCCCTAGCTTCACCCATCTCAATTAATATTATTAAGGTCATTTCTTCGTATAGTCAAGTGGTCGAAAGATTACGGAGTGGCCGTACACAAGAGCCGTTAGAGAGTAGCGTAGGGGAGAGCGTATGGGTCGCTAATACTGTGGTCTGGATTAGTTAGGAATTTTGAGTTTGTCTTTTTCAGAGCCTCGAGAACTTGTTCTCTTTGCCCTTTGCGCAGAGGGGGCTGCAGATGCTTTTGGAGCCCGGTAAGGGGAAGAAACAGAGCGTCGCCATGTTTGGCAACAGTTATACGCCTCCTTTTGGCCCTTAGCTGGAGTGTTGATATTTTGTCATGTGTTGGGTGAATCAAGATGTTTGTTTTGGCTTCGTCCACTTTGTGACCTGGAACTTGCATGTGATCCATATAATTTTCGGCTGGGTCTGTTCCGGTGTCTTTATAGCAATGGTTCTCGCCTCGGCGAGTATCATCAAAATGATGACTTTTTGTTCCAGAGCCATGGCGCACTGGCCGGCGCTCCTCGGAGCCACCTGCGGGGGAAGAATCGTGGCTAGATTCTCCGGTAGATATTGAATCTTCCAAAGCCAATGGCATGGGTCGGAATTGCTCTGGATTCTGCCACTCAGCCAGCATCTTTTCATCTAGTTGCTTGAAAAATTTCAGGTGTTTTTCCGGGGATGATAGCCACGGATGAGAACTTGCCAAAGAGGTAGTTGGTCGCTCTTCTGGGTTAATACGTAGGCATCTCCGTACGAAATTCAAACTTTTCGAAGATCTTCTTGACGCAGCTTTCTCATTGAGCTCGCCAATATATTCGTCGAGAACCTCCTGGTCTAACCGAATGAGCTCACTGAGCTGGCCGTCTGTAGGCGGAACTAGTAAAATGAGTGTGACGATACCCATGGACCAAATGTCCACAGCAGGCGTCTGCATGGACCCAAATACAAGTTCTCTGAAGGGAGTTAACCGAATGATTAGCTGAGACTATTATGGGCATGGGGCCATTCACTTACGGTGCTTGATAACTTGCTGTACCGACGTTGCTTGTCATTCTATTGCGTCGAGGAACAGACGAGGTCCCGAAATCAGACAGCATCACTCGATAGTGCAGAAGCTTGGGTGAAAACGCAAGGAGGATATTTTCAGGCTTGAGATCGCGGTGGACAACTCCTCTGCTGTGGAGAAAATGCAAGCCACTGGTAACTTGCCACATAATGATGCGAACATCAAACTCGTCAATCAAATTGTGTCGATATATAAAGGACATCAGATCGCCACCTGATGCGAGTTCCGTGAATGTGTATCTTGAACCGATCAGCAAACAAATTTTCCGAGAAAATGGATGAGGTGTGGGGAGGGCGTACAAAGTGTGAGGGGAACTAATACAATCCACGTAGGACAGAATATTGGGCTACGCTGTTTTGTTAGCAGCGATTTAGACGCTGAATGACGGTGGTACAGACATGATGTAGTTGACGAAGTATATCCGCTTCTTGGAATCTTCGTTGGACTTGCTTCGTAACATCGCGACCCCGTAGTTTTTGAAGGTTCACCACCTTGCACACCAACTGTTTTTGGGTCTTGGTATCCGTAGCCAGGTGAACACAGGCTTCAGCTCCTTCTCCTAGACAGCGATCGGTGACGAGATATCTGTCAGCAAAAAACTATATACTCTTAGTATGCGTTCATCTTTTAGTGATATGAACAAAGAAACCATGGATTGAATACCTTGCATTCCTCGCTCTGAACACGGGTGAACTCATGGCGCCTAGGGCGGTCATTTTGGAAGAGCTTGAACTTCCAGTAAGGCCGCAACTCTATTTCATCCCCATCATCAAGAAGATAGCCTGGTGTTACATTTGGACCAACACCGATCAGTGTGCCATTGACGTATGTTCCGTTGATAGATTTTCTGTCTCGGACATATACATGATTGATAGATGTTTCGTAGACGACAACATAGATCTCACAGTGATTGCGAGAAACGGTGAACTCTGGATCGCTGTCGATGGAAAATGTGCTGTTTCTTGTCAGAAAATATCGCAGCTAGTAATTGAAAGAAACCGACATACTTTGATTTTGCATCACGTCCAATCTTTAGAAATTGCTGTTCCCAGATGGGGATTGAACCTGACCATTCTTTAGTGGGTTATTCCTTCTGTGTACCTGTTTGCCCACACCGGGTTACCTTGGGGTTCGGATCCAATTCGAGAATCATACACTTGGAGATACCCAGCGATCGCATCGTGAGAATCTTCTTCGCGAAGCGCATTGCCCGAGATTGTCCCCATGGTCAGTCCGAATCAGGGTTCTGGGATAGCTCTGGCCAGTGATGCGCTTAGCGACTTCACAATTGACCATCAAAAGGAAAATAAAATGTGGCAATCATATTTGTGGTATGGGATAGATTTAAATTTAAATCTTAACTGTTTCACTTCTCCAAGGCTCCGATGGAGGACTTCCCTTCTCTTGTGGACTGAAGCAACAGCTTGACCCTCGCTCCTTCCCTACCTCCTCCAAGAGCTCCCTCAGCTGCCTCAGGTACCCACTTTTAGCATCGAGAAGGTTTGGACACACAGTGTTTCTGTACAGTACTAGAAAATTAGCACGGCCCACCCTCGTCCCCGCACAGGTACCGACGTCGAAAAGTGCCCTCACGTGATGTGCGGGGGTTTGCAACCCTACAGGCGCCTGTGACTTATTCGTCGCAATTCCTCCCCTCCAATTTGGTGTTGTTTCCTCATCCCAACACGATTCTCATCCACGAACCAGTAAGTTGCCCACAGCCCTGCGCGTCATCGCAACGAGGCAGCCATTGATAGGAGCTCAATTATCGCATTCCTATTAATGGCCGAGAACCTCGTT